GGGGTAATTTATTGTTTGCATATTTTGGCTTCACCAACGGAATGTGTTAATGTTTGATAGTGGAATTGTTAGGTTTATGTTGTTGTTTTTTTAAATCAATGTCTTGCTTTCTTTCTCCCATTAGTTTCACGGTGTAATGGCTAGATTCCTCGTCTAGCACTCAAAAAGCTGTGTGTTCGACTCTCAAGTGTGGCTGAAATTGGCCTGAGAGGGGTGTAGTGTTTCAGCAGTAAAATCGAAAATCTCAACCTGAATTCTTTTCACAAGGGAATCGAATTCTTTTCACAAGGGAATCGAATTCAAGTCTTCTGCAGGCGATGGCAAAACGCCTAACTGCAGCACCACAGACGCCGGTCTGCATGCTGTACGAAGTGATAGACATGGATGATGACCAAGAGATTCTTTTACCGCGCAGCACTTTACCTTTCTTGCCCTATTCTCTTGAGATCAAATTATTTTCCAGCTCAGCAGCGGAATGTGGTCATTTATCTGCCAGAGGGTAGAAACGGGCTCATTTTTCGCTTCTTCATTCACTCCATGTCGGTTCGCCGTCATTCATCCGTCAAAAGCGGACAGCCGCCTGCGTTGATCAATGTCAGTTCCACCTTAAAACATCAAACGTCAGTATATGATCTTCCATAAGACGACACTGCCTTCACTTCTCATCATCATTTTTTTTTCTCACATGATGTTTTTCTTCTGTCTTCCTCAGATGAGCCATGAACTCGCTGTATGACACAAGAGACCAGCATAAATCGTACGTTCATCAGACATCCGAGTCACATAACGCCTTCATCGCTTGGAAAATAAGGAAAAAGAGGAAACCTGTTGTTGATCAACTCCCGTGTATGGAAACACACGCGGGGCATTTCTGACCAAAAAGAAATAATATTTCTGAATTTATCCAAGGAAAAGATACTGCCTATTTTGAGTGAAAGATTTTGTACTTTGTAGACATAATTGACGATTTATTTTGTGCAAAATGGCGCTACACTTTGAAAGGATTACTTTTTACGTTCGGACAAGTGAATGTATTATTTTGCCAAGGTGAATTTGTGCAATTTTTTCCCTGGACAGAAAGATACGCTGTTTTGAGATTGTGTGCTGAGCATATGCTGAGCTGCACACATCCCATATTTCCAAAGAGGGCCTACAAGTGGTTAAGATTCGTGTTTATCTTTTAATATCTGTTTGCGAAAGTAGCTAAAATTTAAAGACATCGAACTTTTATTTGTGTGGATAGCATTAAATGCTAAGAAATTTGCATCGTCCTCCCTTTGTGCGGTGATGCTTGACTGCTCTATTCAGGTATGGAAAAGATCGCAACTGTTTTAGTCCTAGTTGCTATAGCAACATCTGTGATACAACAAATCAGCGGCCAGGGATGGACGTACCAGCCAATCGGAGAAGGATGGCAAGCAGACGCCTCCGTGACTCAAAAGGAGGAAGACATTCGGGATTTTAGATTCATCAGCTATGAATGTGAGTACATCAGTGTGTATGTCAAGTGTAAATTGTATGTCTGTCTGTGCTTGTTGGTCTGCGTGTGTCTCTTTCCCTATTTCTGATCCCTCTATATCTCTCTCGTTTTCTCTGTCTGTCTGTACGTCTGCCACCATTTAATCTAACTGCAGCTTCTTTTAACTTCTCATACATATTTTGGAAGATGCTATCTCTCTCACTCATTGCACCAGGCTCTGTGATGTAGCGGTTAGGCAGTTCCCCTTCGCACGTAAAATACCCGAGTTCAATTTCCGTGAAGGGAGAACTTTTATCGAGAACCTCAATCTTTCTATTGGGACGTCGTATCCCTCTCAGCGCATATTGGCTCTGGCAGGCAGGGTCGAAGCTTGCCTCTTTTATGATCTAGAACGTGTCAGTCGGTGCGTTAATAAACACTTCCATTTTTTTTAAAGGGGAGGGT